TTGGAATAAGCATTGAATCCAATAATTTTCTTGCTTCTGAGGAAATATTTCTTTCAGCCCATTGTGTTATTTCAGTAATAGCAAATAATTGGCACTTCTAACTCCTTAATAGCTGTTAGTGCTTGATGGAAGAGGCTCTATCTCGTTGGACAAGGTTGCAATTTCTTTTTCCCTGTTGGACCAGAAATTTCAGAATTAATTAATATTTGACTAGAAATTGGAAAATGGTAGATAAATATTACGCCACTAAAAATTTGAAAATAATAAGTAAATATTACGCCGGAAAACTTGAAATCGAAATTAATTGATAAAATAACTTATGAATGTGATAATAAATGTAATAAAATATATATTTAATATGAGATACGAATAAAAATTAACAAATATAAATTAATATAAACAATAATATTTTTGAAAAATATATCAGGCATCTGCATTTTTTGGCTTTGGGGGGGGGGGGGAGGGGGTGGATTTGTCTCCCTGCCCCCCCCAGCTGCCTACCCCAATGTGAATTTGCATGTAAAAAGAACGATTTGATAACGAAATGAAATAAAAAGATATTTCAGGAATTACTTCTAATAAGATTATCTTTAAAGTTTTATAAATACGTATAGGTTGAATAATTATTTGAAGCTGAGGCAGATATTTGCCTTCCTTGTATTATCTATAACTTAAACAATGATTAATCAAATATTCCAAAACGGGTTTTATCAATTGGAATAAAAGTTCTTATATACAGGGGCCTTGAGTAACAATATAATTACAGAAGAAGAATATCATAAGACTTAAAGATTTTTCCAATTTTTTTGTATAAACTAATTACGAAATTTAAATAAATTTAAATCAAGATGACCATTTTAATTTTCTAGACAAAAAAAATCAAAACCTTTATTGGCAATCAATATTACTGAAGAGATTGTTAATACTTTATTTTTATAATTTTACACTGCTCAATCATTGAGATAATACCAATTGCAATATAGTTATAAATATTTTCTAAATTATATATATTATATAATTCCCTAACAAATATTATACCAGCACAATTAAAATAATATTTGTAAAATCATTAAATCAACTTATTTCTTTCCGATAAGTCAATTTTTATCTTCCATCTAATTTTATAAACATATTTGATCATAATATATTTTTTATTTTCAAATAAAATCGTATATTTCAATTTTGTGAATAACTTATATTCGTTTTTTTTAACTGCCCCTCCAAAATTTTTGTCTGCCCCCCCCCCTCCAATGGGTGAAGCTAGAATTTCGCCTGTCAGGGTTTGGCACAAAGTTATAGTTAGAATTACTTATAGTAGAGGAAGTGTTACATTACTCATCATTTGTAATTCTCCGATTTTGAAAATGTAAAGTAGTGCTTCTGAAACCATTATATTTGTTGTGTAGCATAACGTTTATTTTTCGTTTCTTTTAAAACGTTTTTTACGATTTAAAAAAAAATTGATTGTGTTGGTTAAGGTTAACGGTAAATAAGGAATCCAATAGAAAGAGGGATAAGATTTAATCTTTCCAATTTCTACGTTATGTGATTCAGTGATTTTGTTTTCTACTTTCTAGATCATGTCAGCTCCAGCCATTGAAAAAATTATTATCTCATCAGTGAAAGACTAATATATTTAAAATTGGTTAAAATAAAAAGAATCTACACATAGATTAATGTCTGATGTAGGCTAGTGGGATTAGTATATCTTAGATATAGACAAAGGTCTGATTTTGGCTAGGGATTTTAAAAGCATAAAAATAAATTTCACAATTTTTTAAATTCTTTTTAAGATATATATTATTTATTTCATCTTCTTGACTTATATAAAACATATACATAGAGGGTTAGCTTGAATATATAAATAGAAAAGCGTATGTATATGGGGCTTAAAATATCTTTTTAGGGGACTATTTGCCAACACCTGTGTTAGAAACAATAGCCAAATTACTATAGATCTTAGTTATTAATAAAAAGCAGATTCTTTAATTTCATACAAAAAAATCCTAACTTTGACTTTCACTTTTTTAATTCATAAATGACATTTTCTTATAGGTTACAAGATACAACCGGTAAAATTGATTGTTTATAACACAAATTTACCTCCACTACCGTAGAGCCCTTATTTTAGTTGTAAATCTAATTAATAGGCCAAACAGGCGCATAGTTGCCAGATCTACCACACAAATTTTTTAAATGTCGGAGTCTACTGCACTCAACTCAGCTACCACAATTCCATTAGATTTTTTAAAATTTCCGAAATTAACCACATCCCATATTTTATTCAAAAAATATTTTTATAAAAAAAAATAAAATCTTCTATTCATCGTTATTTTACCTATCTGATCTTGATAATTAGTTTCATATAAAAGAAGGTTTTTTTGTTTATATTATATCTATCTGATTGGTAAATACTGAATCTTGAAGTTCAGATTATGTATAAATTTCTTATATTCGCAAAAATAATCATCATTATTTAGATGAGAAACCTTAAAGGGATTTGATTTTGATCTATTGACGCAGGATCGTGCATTTGACAGGTTTGTATTTAATAATAAAATGAATCTATAATATTTTTTTTTTATTTTTTTTAAGATTCATTGTCATTCAATATCTAATGTTTCGCTCTTCGTGACAGAGTCTTGTTCTGATTCATGTTCAATATTATCATTTTCTTTAATATTTTTTAATCAATTTTCTTTAGTAAAATGTTCTATTACTGATTATGGTGAGCAAAGGCCATTCCACCAACTCGAGGCTGGAATCTGATTATTTTGTATGGAATTTACTGTTTACCACATAATTTTCTACTAAACATGCCGCTTTTACTTCTGAAATTTATGATGTTACTTGAAATATTTTGATCAACACCACCTTGTAAAACTCCTATTTCTTGTATCATATCATACTTCATTAAATTCATACTAGTAAGATGCTCCACTTGAAATTGGTGACCCAATAAATAAGCAGCATTATGATTACATGTATTTATATCTTTTTTTTGCTTTTCAAAAATATTTTTAATTTTTTTTGAGATATTCCTCTGGTCAATTGGCCGACTTACCAACCATGCCTATTAGCATTTTTCGCTAAAAGTTTAAAGGACAGTAAATCTCATTTTTAGAATGGATCTAGATGAATAATTTTATTTTATATCATAAAAATATTTCTTTATGTTTTAATATATCGTCCTGTTACAGAAATTGAAGGATGATTTGTCATAAAATATAGGGAAAAAGGACATTAGGGAGTTTCGATTTTGTGAATACAGGTTTACTGATATTTCAGGGCAGACAAGTGTATAAAAGGAGGGGATGCCATAAAAATAATTTAATGATATACCCCCTCTTGAAAAATTTTGATATAAGTGTTTAATTTTCCTTTTAAAGTTTAGATATTTAAACTTGGGATCCAAAAATCTGGATCATAACATATCTTGGCGACCTCGTTTATTCATTCGATCGACATTTCGCCGTTTCCTTAAAATTTTTTTATTTTTGGGGATGATCAAACCCTAAATTATAATATTAATCGAATATATCTTCTTTAAATCCAATACATATCCTTTAAATTCAAGCCTATAAATAATTTTTATTAATGTCACTCCTTCTATAATATTATCGAGGAATGATATGATTTGAGCTCGAGGTTCCTGCTTTAATAAAAAATTTGTAGAATGCACTTTTATAATCTATAAAGAATATTTGAAACATTATTTCTTCTTTTGCTATATATTTAAAGTTCGCAGGAAAAAAATGTTTATATACTCTTATTTTTTTTTCCTTTATAAAATTTTGGCAAGAAAATATTTCATTTAACTCTAATTCAATTCTCTACTCTTTACAATGCGCAAATATTTAAGATATTTTAAAAATTTGATGCTACTATAATATTCTGTAATTATATTTTGAATATTTAAATTATCCTGATGCATGACAGTTAATTAATATCATCCATAAACTTAATGTAATGAAGGGATGCAGAATATGGCCACATTCAAATATTATCGGGTTGCCCATTTTTATGAAGAAAATAATCATTTTAAATTTTATCTATACTTAAATATTTGAAAAAGAAATAAGTATTATTTTTTAGCTAAAAATTTCTCTTCCTCTTTAACCTTGCCGACGACAGTGTAAGAGGGTTTGGAAGATAAGCCCCCTCCAAATTTTTTAAACTAAAATCTACCAGAATTGAATTTTTACCTGGCATCTTTGAATTGGAGACGATCAAACACATAAAATAAAATGATAATCCTTGATTGTTATTATATTAAATGAGACAATAAATTATTAATAAACCAGTTTCCGTTTATATTTTTACTGCCTTTCTATTGTACATTTTGCAAGGAAATGAATCGATAAAATTATCTTTTTTATTTTTCTTGTGTAAAGAAAAGTTTTTGTATACATGTTCTAAATGACGGTAACCGTTAATTTTTTCAACGGCCCAACCCTATTACTATATAAAATAAAAATCGGTCAACCCAAGAGTCGGCTTGGTTTCTTGAATCAATTTGGTCATTGAAATTGGGTTCTATACTGAACATTTACTAATTTTTACACTTTTAGTAAGCTTTTCTTTGAAAATAATTCGATTTTAAATGTTGATAATTAGGTAAAAGTATCAATAACCCAAAATAATGATAACCGGTTTTTTTAAATAGGTACAACCTAACTAAAACCTTAATATTATTCACAAAACATTATTTTGCGGTTAAAATTGATAGGCACCCAATTACTAAAAACAATATTTCATTTTGTTTAAATAAAATGACGTATTTCCATTCTAATATTATTTTATAAATAAAAAAATTAACATCCAAACGATTTTTATTAATTCGAACAAAAAAACAAGACGATTTACAAAATTACCTTTACGTTCTTGACTTATTTTATATTAAAGCATTGATAAATTCTATTTTTTAAACATTTTTTGTAAAAATCTTTATTTTCAAAATATTATATCGATTATGTTATATAAAAATTAAGATAACAATAACGTTTTTTAAAATTTTATTCATATTTTTTGGTAAACAACTAATAGTACAACAAAGTTAAATTATATAAAAGTTTGTAATACTAAACTTTTAATGCACATAATCGTATATTACAATTTCTAAAGATAAATGATGAGAAAGCTTTATATAAAAAGAAAGAGCATTTAATAAATATTAAAATCTATCATAAAAACATAGTGTATATATATTATATAATAAAAAAACAATAAGATTTATTCTATTTTGTATAATATGATTGAGCATAACAATATCGTTAACAAATTTATTCTTCATCGTTGTCCTAATAAAAAAATAAAATATATTTCAAAATTCGAAAATTACTTCATCTGCTTTAACTTTCTTGCCACTGCGATATAGAGTAATTTCCTACAAAATAATTAAAATTGATTTATAATTAAATTGTTATTACCCTCATATATCTCTCTTTTTCTTTTTCTGCCATTTTTTCATATTTTTGTTTTGCTTCTGGAAGAACTCTGCTCCATCGGAGACCTAATTCTTTGGCTATATCCCCAACAGTTAAACCAGGATCAGTCAACTTTATTTTGGGCCTTTCATCATTACAGAAGATAAAAAAAGCCGATCTAAAAAACAGTTAGAATAAAAAGCTTGAATAAATTATTTTACAGGGCTCTTTTTGGGGCATCAGGATCCTTAACTCTCTTTCTTTTCTTGGTCTTGTTTTTTTCAGGCCCATCATAGTTGGCCATTTCGCTTTTGTATCTCTCAGTGTCTTTTTCAGCCATCTCTTGAAATCGGCTTTTTTCCTGAGGTGTCATGGTCTATTAAATTTAATGTGTTAATATTGAGGTTAAATAATTTTACTTTCCATCTCTGAGCACACTTCTTTGAAAACTCTGCAAACACCACATTATCAGTAGGATATTTAGACTTATGCTCTTCACGACAAGTTTGTACAAAGAATGCATAGGCTGTAATTTTCCCTTTAGGTTTATCGGTTCGTCCCATTTCTTAAATGAATTGATATTTTTTAAGAAATTGGTGTCTAAATTTTAAGCTGTGATTTGGGAGAAAAATTGATTAAAAATCGTAAAATTCGATTAAAAATTGTAATTAATCGATAATTTACATATAAAATTAAATATGGCTGCATAATATTATCAAATATTTTCAATAAAAAGGTTATCAAATTAAATTTTACCTTTATTCGGTATTCTGTATGCTAATATATTGTTAAGCTTGTAATGCTAAAAGTCCTATGTAAAAGCCTAGTACGTTTTATAATATAACTTGCAATTGGTATATTTTATTATAATAAAGCGCAATGATATTATATGTATTTATTATAATAGTAAATGTTATAAGGTTTTTAACGGAAAAGCATATATAAATATAAACGAATTTTTTTAATATTTTTGATTGGTGGATTTAATTTTCCGCAATTTATATAACCAATAGAATTCAAATTATACACGTGACGTATTTTTTATTATATATAAAATATTATTATAAAATGGTAGCTTTTATTTTAATAATATCATTAGTTTTTTTATTTTTTTAACCTGCATCGTAAATAAATTCCATAACAATAAATTAATTGATAATTATTGTCTGCTTATTTTGTTTATAATTAATTACATTAAAAAAAAGATAGCTATTTATAAATAAGTATAATTTTAAATAAAATACGAGAGAATCACTACAATAATTTTTTATGGAAGATGAAAGTATTCCTGATCGTTCAGACATTGAGAATGATCAAGAATGTTGCTTAGTGGCGAATGGAGAAAAGTAAGATTATATAACATTTGAGTATAAGTTGATAATTATCAAAGGTGTCACAGAGTTGCAGGCAATGGAAGTTATAATAAAAGAGTTCAAAATATAATTGACATCAAAGGTCTAGATATGAGTGTTGATATCAATGTAACATGTTAGTTTTTAATAAGAACTTCTAAATATATATATTTTTAATCTCTTCCAGATACCCCATACATATATTTGTGATCAACACAAATCTATAATACATAAGGTTTCAAATAGTAAAAAATGGAAAAAATTAGATAATTCTAAAACAGAAAATGATCTTGTAAGAAGCTTGAAAGTATTGTTATGTTTTTAACCTTGATATTATTTTTTATTTAGCCAGACTTTGCAATTTTGCCTATGAAATCTTTGAGAAGATATAAAAAGCATTTCAATGTTCACACTAGGCCTGGCTTAACCAAGACACAATTGGCAGATGTAAATTTATATTCAACTAACATTTATAATTTTTTTATTAATAGATAGTAACTGATCATTTCTTAACTATTCCTATATGTGAAAAGGAAACAATATCTTATTTTATTTATAAATGTAAAACAAAGAAATCACAAGATATTTTATATATGGAACTGTAATAAAATATTTATATACTTATTGATGCAATACTTTTTATTTCATTGAGGATAGTAAATTGTATTTGGATGTTTTATTTATCTGTAATGTTATGATTGAATATAAATAGACGGTAAGTAAGAAAAGGTAATTAATAATAATAGGCTGCCTACCTTGTTTTGAGAATACCTATTGTATTATTTTATAGAAAATTGTTAGAAGCAAATTTAAAGACTCACTTTTCACTATGTTTCTTATAAATTATTTGTAATGAATGAAATAAAATAATATACAATCATCTAACTGATCTGTAGATATATATTCCTCATTAAATTTAAAATTGTAAGAAATATTGAGTGACTAAAATAATATCCCCTATTAAAGAAGCACATATAAAAATAATATAAATTCCTGTTTATCTCTAATTTAATTTTAAAAAAATACCAATAAATTAGTAAAAAAAAATTTTATTTAGGACTTAAAGAGAATCCTTGTGTTAATTATAAACTATTGTAAAAAAATAAATAAAATAGATACACGTTTATCTCTTCAATGTGATTTAGAAAATGTTTAAATTATTGAGATATTGAAAAAAACTATTTATTTTTTTACTAAATCCCCTATTAAAAAGTTCAAATTTAAAAATAAATATAGAATCATAACTTTTCAAGAGGATTAAGAAAATTTTTTTAAACTGAATCCCATATAAAAGGCTCAAATTTAAAAATATAAATATAGAATCATGTATTCTTCAATAGGATTCAGAATATGTTTTTTATAATTTAAAATATAGTTAATTAGTGAAAAAATCTATTTTTTTAATGACTTAACTAAATATCCCCTGTTAAAGCTTAAATTTAAAAAATTAATAAAGAATAATATGTAACTCTTCAAAAGAATAAATTAATTTCTTTGTATAAACTAGAAACTTGCAGGCCTGGGTACATAGGCCAGTCCATATTTTAAATTTTTTAAATATACTTGAGCCAAGCCTGAAAATTTTTTAAAAAATATACCTGGGCTGGGATGTATATTTTAAATGATTATTAGCTTTAAAAATAAATAAATATCTTTAAAAAATCAACACAGACTGTGCAAATGGTACCTCTGCAGGTCTCTGGTCTAAACTAAGAATCCCTTTCAAATTTAAAATAAATTAATATAGAATTATGTATAACCCCTCAAGAGGATTCAGAGAATGTTAACTAGAAATCCATTATTAAATGGTTTCAATTTTAAAAAAATACATGTAGAATACTGTATAACTCTTCAAGAGGATTCAGAAAATGTAAAAATTCATATTTTTTTAAAAACTTGCAAATTAGTAATTGAAAAAACCAGAAATGACCCAAAGGCCCATTTTAAAAATGGAGCATTCTAGTGTCAAAAAAAAAATCATCATTTTTGTGAAAAATAAATTAAAATTTTATTTGAATTATTTTTTTTAAATTTTCTGATTTTTATATTTCCATATTATAGTTAACATTTATATCAATTTTAAAAAGTGAAATAATGTGAATTTTGTAGTGTAGATCATATTTTATTATAAATGATAATTTATTAATATACTATATAATAGGAATACATTAGCCTGTTTTAAATCAATTTTAGAAAGTGAAATATTGGGAATTTTATGGCAGCCACATAACCAAGGGCCTGCCCCATAGTAAATTTGACAGATCCATTTAGAGAATATGTAAAATTTTGGAATTTTTGATTGAAAATGATATCAAAATAATTAAAATATTAAAGAAAATTACAACAACAGTGATATTGATTGACTAATTATTAGAATAAAAATGTATAATATTAAAAAAAAATTATACACCATTGATATGACTATTGGTGGCCTGCCGGCATGATTTTCATAAACGTCAGCTTTTTGCGGTTACCAAAGAAGTCGTCGGCCTGCTAGAGCACAGGTCTAAAGATAAAAGAACTCTCCCACCCTCGCCAGTTGAACATGTGGAGTCCTAAGCACTCTTTTATCTAATCAAAATTTTTAATATAAATAAATATATCAAAAAGAACATATATATTATATATTATTCTTTTATAATTATTATCTATAAAAAAACAAATAAAATGAAAATATATGTATTGAAAAGTGAGTAACGTGTTTTTCACAAAGTAATGGTATCGCTTTTCTTTTTTCAAACATAACAAGTGACGTTTACAGCACCAATGTAAACTAAATTAGCACAAAACAGTTTGATTTTTATAGCATGATACCTTCTAAACATGTTATTTGGGATATAACTAACAAGAAATCGCAACAAAACGCGTGTGCATTTACCATTTGAAAAAAAATTTTGACAATCATTTTAAAATAATTTGTGTGCATCAAAGGGTTATTCCTTCATTTTTTTAGAATGCTAGTAAATCTGAAATGCAATTAAATTTTAAAATAAAGTTAGGCATAAGAATATATATTTATAAAATAATAGAGTGAAATACAAGAGGTTTGCATCATCTCATATGGAGGGGTAGATTCTGCTTTGCCCCCCTCACCCCATATAGTTGCACTGCTACATCCGTTGTAAGTTGCAATTTTTTTAAATCTTTCGCGGTAACTATCTGATCAATAATGTCACAATTCCTCAATTCTACAAATTTAAAGTTCAATGGTCAAGTTTTATATGACTAACTACACAGAGTTATTTCTGTTTCCATACAAATATCTTCTGGCATCACAAATTAGCCGAGTTTTTATCGGTAACAATCGCTATATTTGTGGCTTTTTATGTATTGAAAGTGTCTATCGAGTTCAAAGAAGATTTACCATCTTCAACCATATCCAAGGTAGATAGGATGTCTAAATTTCTTGTTTATAAATATCAATAAAAGTCCATTTATTTAATTTATTTTATGAATTTAAGTCGTTAATAATATTTTAAAATTGATAATTTAGCTTCCAATTCTAAATCTGTTTTTTATTCAAATCTCTTTATTAAATTTAATACCTTTACCGAAGATTTTTAGCCCCTCCTTAATACCTCCTTTTAAAGCTATAAATTTCATTTTTTTTAAAATAAATTTTGGTTTTCACTTTTCTTCAAAAATTTCAGTCATTATTTTTTAAAAAAATAATTAACTTCCATTTATTTTTTAAAAAAAAATATGGTGTACATTGTGAATCTTTTTTTTTGAAAGGGGTGGGGGGGGGGGGATAATAGGATTTTTTTATTAGCCTGAAAGAATATTTACTTAAACAACAAATCAAATGTCCTAAGGGAGGATCCCCCCCCCATAAATCAATTAGAGTTAAATAGATGCTTGACAGAAGGAAAAGCACTGAGTAGTATTTGAAGGAATCCGGAGAAAGAAAATAAAAATTATAACTTTTTTAGTTGAATGAACGTCAAAAATAAATTGGTTCACGTTCCAAATTAGTTTGAAATGTTTTTTTTAAAAAAAATCCTAATAGTTTCTAATATTTTTTTTAATGAAGACCATCCTTTCAAAAAGCTGGAGCTACTACCCCATCCCCTTTTTCTGGTTGAAGCATTTTTCTTGTTTGTTTGAAACTTGCTCAAATTGAACGAATCTTGGTGAACGACATTCCTTTTATTTACGAATTTTGAACTTTTTTTAAAACGAATGCGTAATTCGATCAATTTTAAAAAATGATCATTTTTTTTAATTTAGAAAATAATTTTTAAAAATTTATTACCTAACTGTTTATTTTTCAATAATTTTTCTGCATCCTTACATTTCTGATTAGTGTTTACTGCTCTAATTTGTAGTAGTTTAGATTTCTTTTTTAATTTTATAGGCAATTAACAACCGGTATTTACTCGAATAGCCTTTATGGTTTCTACAAAAAGATATAGAAATGAAGAAGACAGGATGAAATGTCAATTCAGTTTTTATTTGATGATTAATTATTGGACACTTTAGATGAGGATTGTTTATCGAAAAAATTTCAAACGAAATATAAATAATTCAATATTTTTAACAAATTTCCTGATATAAAATAATTATTCATTAAATAAACACAATCTCCAGCTTATGTCAAGTGGGTCTTAGGGTTGTAATTCTATTTTACATAGCGCTGTTGCTTAAAATTTAAAAAATAATTAAAAATTATAAATATTATAATTTGAATCATATTATATCCTTGTTTTCTATTTTTATATATGTCTTAATTTTTAAAGGGATCATGACTATCCGGGATTTTAAGGGATAACTAAAAAATTAGGGTTTTAAATTAAGGATTGATAATACGGGATTATCACGTTTTAATCGTGATAAAGAGGAATCTTATTTTAAAAGCGTTTTCCACGAGTTTAGTTGCGTTTTTTAATTTTTAATTTTGTTTTTTTTGGCCTTATGATATAAGATATGTCTAGTATAGGGTATCAATCTATAGCTAATCAAAAGATCTATTCAACTGGAGGTCAATCTCTGCCCCATAATTGGTGGTCTAGGGGGGTAGGGGTGGGGTGGGGGAGGGTGTAAAAAATAATTTTTTTGATATGGGTATCAATCGATAGCTAATCAATAGATCTATTCAACTGGAGGTCAATCTCTGTCCCATAATGGGCGGTCTAGGGGGTAGAGGTGGGGAGGGGGGGGCGTAAAAAATAATTTATTTTGATATGGGTACCAATCATTAGCTAATCAAAAGATCTATTCAACTGGAGGTCAATCTTTGCCCCATAATAAGCGGTGCATGGGGGGGGGTGTAAAAAATTATTTTTTTTGATATGGGTATCAATCGATAGCCAATCAAAAGATCTATTCAACTGGAGGTCAATCTCTGCCCCATATAGGGTGGTCTAGGGGGTAGGGGTGGGGGTGGGGAGTGTAAAAAATAATTTTTTTGATATGGGTATCAATCGATAGCTAACTAAAAGATCTATTCAACTGGAGGTCAATCTCTGTCCCATAATGGGCGGTCTAGGGGGTAGAGGTGGAGGGGTGGTGTAAAAAATAATTTATTTTGATATAGGTATCAATCGATAGCGAATCAAAAGATCTATTCAACTGGAGGTCAACTGCCCCATAATAAGCAGTCTAGGGGGTAGGGGGGGGGGTGTTAAATATAATTTTTTTTGATACTTATCAATGATAGCTAATCAAAAGATCTATTCAACTGGAGGTCAATGTGGTTTAGGGAAGTGGGGGGTGTAAAAATAATTTTTTTGATATGGGTATT